AACCTCCGTGCTCTGTGTGGGAGCTGCGCTGGGCTGGGTCTTATCTAACTCTGAGGCCCAGCACTATGGCCTTCTTATATTTTGGAAGTGCTTCTGTTACCAACAAAAATCACTTTGAGTTGAGACACTTGTTAGTCATAGAATGGTTAGGGTTGGAAAGTACCTTAAGATCATCCAATTCCAAAAAATCAACTTCCCTGTTCTCCAAAAGTTGACCTGAGATCCTGGCCCAAAATGAAAGGGGAGAGAGAGCCAGGATGCTTGCTCCATGTCAACTCCTGTCTCCTGTGCCCTTTGAATGCCAGCAGAACATGACTGGTTCCCTCTTCATCACCTTTAAGAAGGCATGGAGGCTGCCAGGTGGTCACAGCCTGCAGCAGTGGAAGAATTGGTTCCTGAGTACCCTCCAAAGCTTTCATGTGACTCTGTCTTGTCTCAGCTTGCTGCAAATTGCCATGCAATGTGTGGACCTGTGCCAAAGAAAGAGAACTCTCTCATTTTGTCCACAGGCTTTTCAAAGCACAGTCTGTCTCTCAGCTGTTACTAGTCAAAAGTGGTAAAACTCCCCAAAAGTGGGGAAACATTGCTGTGCATTCTGCTTTTCTGTGAGGAATGAGGTTTGGACAGTGCTCTGCATAACCCTGAGGCAAGCTGGCTAGGATCCTTGCTTGATCAGGGGTCCCAGTGTGCCTGTGGTAACAGAAATCATCTTTCAGTTGTTCGAGGCAGCTCCAGTGCCAAGCGGAGCTGAGGAACACAGCAGTGAGGAAGTCTGCATGAGCTGGGACTGGCAGACTGCTGAGAACTTCCCCAGGCACTGGGGACATGAGTGAGAGGGGGAACATACCCACATGGTCATGCTGCATCTCCAGTGAGCATGTAGCGACGGAAATTTAACTCTGCATAGCCAGAGATTCCCTAACATTAGCATGACACTGATGGCTTGGGTGCTACTTAAGGTCTGCAGATGCCCAGTAGCAAGTCTGGACTGCCTACAGGGAGAAGACTGTGAGCCACAAGCTGAGTTTCTCTGTGTGGGTAGCGAGTGGTTCTGAAATGATGATGGAGGAGTGAGACTGTGGAATAGTATAGTTTGTTTTTTGTTTTCTCAGAAATCACGGTGCTGTAGTCACAGGGCTTATCGCCTGCTGGTTCTCCAATACACAGCTGGTTTTGGTGGGGCGTAAAGCTTTGATGTGGAGGAGGAAGGAGTCAGTGTGGAGTGTATGCTTTGCTTTTTGAGAGTAAAGGTGTGTCAAAGAGCTTACAGAAGGAGAGGGACTGCATGAATCCTGAGGACAGAGCTGGGGGCTGCTGCTGCAGTCAGCAGTGTGGTACCTTTTGTTACTGGTGATTCTCACACTGTCGGGTACCTGAGCAAAGAAAGAGGTTTAAAAAGATGCGACCAGGGATTTCTGTTTGGTCCTGACCTAATAGGACAGACCCCATTTCTCCAGTGTCCTGAGCTGACAGTGCTCACGAGATGGTTTTGTTACATCTCCTGTCTGGATGGAGACCTGGCCTGGTGCAGTCTGATAAACAGCAGCCCAGACATTCAGATTTCAGCCTTTATGCAGGGAGAGGCGGTGCGTTGCTTCTCTGCTATCCTTTATTCTTAATACATGCTCTCCTTTGCTATAACACATCTCCACAACTCTACAGAGCTTCTCCACTGCTGTTTGCTGTAAACCCACAGCAGCACAGGCAGGTAGTAGAACACTTATAAATACAGCAGGTGCCAACAAAAAGGGCTGGGAGTGGGTAGAGTCCACTTAGATGCTAATATGCAGGATACTTGCTTTCTAACAGCTTGCCAAGTTATGCTGCTGTGCAGCTTGAGGAGGGTGTACTTGTGCAGTGGATCCTGTGCATCACCCCAGAAAGGGTTGATCTCTGTGGCAGTCTGGGATCAGCACTTCAGGGAGTTCACCAGGCTCTGATCCTGCTAGTGCTCGGCAGCCTCAGCACTGGCTGCTGGTCCCCAGCATTGTCTGGGTGTTCAGATCCAAGTATGATATAAGGTTTGACAGTGGGGCCTAGGCAGTGACACAGTCTGAAACATAAGGCCCACTTGGTTCACCTGGGAAAGTCTCCTTGGTGTTTTTGTCATACTCTTCAGCTCAGAAAATCTATGTACCTGGTTTATTTCTTTTGTCAGGGATAGTGAGAGCAGCAAGTCTACGAGAGCATTGTCCTACCCTGTTTTCCTTGGAACAGGGTTACTTGTTTTCCTGTTGTAGACTGGCATGAGCTTATGGTGCTGTAAGTCCAGGTCCTGCGCCTTTCCTGGCGTGCATCATAATCATGTTTACACCCTTCTCCCAGCTCCACTCTCTCTCCTGCACTTCATTTCCAGTGGGTTCCTGACTTGCTGTCACCTTAGATAAGTCACTCTTCCATCCCCTGCTTTCCCAGCTGTAGAGGGAGAATTGTGCCTCTCTGCAGAGCTGGGAAGCTTTGAGAGCACCACAAAAGGAGCTAGATACAGGCTTGCTCTATTCATTGTGCTTGACAAGTCAGTAAATAAAACTTCACTCAATTGCTCGCTCTGTAATTCACACATAAAAGACCTGTCATTCTGATCTCTCCCACACTATGCTTTAAATGCAAAGGGTGGAGTGAGATCTTCTAGTAAAGCAGCACAATTTCAGAGCAGTACAGAATGGTCTTTGAGGGTAAGGTATTGGCATAAATAACATGATGTACCTGCCTCGGCAGGAAAGTAGAGTGTACATGGTGAACCTACTTGATAAAACTTCTGAGTCCTCAGACAGTGCAGGTACTACAGTTGCTTTCCAGAGAAAGGCAGCAGTTCATGCCAGTGCAGAGCCTGGGTTTTCCTCCTTGGGTTTGAGAGGAATGAATAGGTATTCATCATCTTCTGGTGTCCATATTCTTATCCTTCAGCTGCAGAATGCATCCTAATCATTGTGCTTTAAAGCTCTGTGTTACAGTGCTGGTTGGCCTGAGCCCAGGAGGGTAGCCCACTGGCTCTGTGAGCTAAAGGTCTTGAGTGTCAAATTTTCACTCACAGCATCGCTTGAAGCTGAGTTTTAAGGTTCAGGCATGTCCTCTGTAATCATCTCTGCCATCCTCCAGCCCAGTCTTCACATCTCTGTTGTAATGCTCAGTTCTGCACTTCTTGGTTGACTCTGTCCCATAGGCTTTTCCCACGGATTTTGCTTCACCCCCTCTGGCAATGAGCTACCCATCCCTCTTGCTCCTGGTTTACAGAAACCAGGAGGTATTACCTTGGGTGTAGAAAAGCTTTGTATTGCCATCCCCTTCTGGTGTGCTGCACTCCTCCATAAAGTGTAGCTGGGCCAAAGGAACTTGGAGCTTCCAACCTTTGCTTAAGTACCTGGTGAACTGTAAGTTGTGTCTGTGTTTCAGAAGAGCTGAATGTCCTCAAAAGTACAGAATGATGTTTTCAAGCAGGGATTCTCTGCCTCTGTGCATGCTCTGCTTGATGGGGCTCTGCACTGACTCTGCCACAGCAAATGCCTCGATCTCCTCTGCTGTTGTCTCCTTTGCAGCAGGTCTGGCAGTAGTACTTGCCCACGTATTCTCTGACAAATGGAATCAGCAAGATCTGAGGAGCTGGTTGTAGGGGATCCAGTGTGACATCCCAGGTTGAATTAAGGAAAACCTCAGCCTGAAGTTCCTGGTGCTGATGTGACACCTGTACCTGGAGCCTGTCCCTGGGCTGTCTGCTCCATCAGGGACAGTGGCAATCAAGTTTGAATGGTCAACAAGGCTTCAAGCTTGTAGCTGTTCAGTGTGCAGTGGCTGCAGGCCAGCACGCTCTCAGTCTCACCGTGTGAAGTATTGTTTAGGAAGTGATGGTTAGTGTGCAGAAGAGATAACATGCCATTACTATGACTGGCTGTCTGTCTTGTCGAGCTGGAGCTAGACCTGTCTCGTCACTGTGCCGGGGGAGGTTGTTGTTTCTGCAGTGTAAGCCTCTTGGGCAAGGATCTCTCACTTTCTCTCTGGTTTGTCAACATGCTCTGAACACATGGTTGGTAGCTCAACAGGAAAGGCTTTGGTGTTAAAAACAGCCTCAGATGTTCCCACCCTGTTCTGCAGTTTGCTGCCTCCTCTCCGGTGCCAGAATTGGCTGTGCCTATCCAGCTCAGAAATCACCCTTCAGAAAGGGGTGAAAACTTCCTGATCCTGTTTTACCATTGAAGCCCACTGTGCATTGTACTGACAGTCAGTGGGCAACGAAAGATCTCTCCCGGGACAGACACGGCTGGGGGTCTCTGGATGCAGAAGATGGTGGATGATAGCTATGGTCCCGTGCCAGAGATATTCATCCCAGCATGGCAGTACTGGTGTTTCAGTGCTGGGTTCAAGGCAGCGGAATTGTGACTCTTCTGTAGGTGGCCAGCATCGGGGACTGGTTGGTGTGTGTCTGGTGATGTTGGTTGCCCTTGCAACACCTCTGGGGAAGCGCACAAAGAATAGAGGAGTGAATTGGAATGGCTCTTGCTTACCAGGATGATGGTGAGCCAAGCAAGTGTTTCTCACTGCAGAGCTGTCCTGCAGAGGCACGGGAGAGCTTTCACCACTGTGCTGGGTTGTGTGTTCCCACTGTTAGATCATTGCTGCTTCTTCCTGGGCTCCCTGCAGAAAGTAAAACTGTGTTCTGGGCTGAAAGCCAGCGTTGCCTAGGCCCTGGATTTAGTGAGCCAGCCTTTGCCAGGCTGCTGCACTCCACTCTACTCCTCTGTCACCTGGTGTTCCCAGGCAGGTCAATATGGACCCAATCAGACCTTGCCTGTCTGTGCTGCTTTCCCTTCCCTGTGCTCACCTTCTTGCTTTGACGTTCCTCTTCCTTTTCTGTATCCCCACTGAATGGCTGCCAGCCCCTGCCAGCTCTGCCTCTTAGAGCTGCCACTTGTGATTCCTGAAGGGTGGACAGGCGGGAATGAATGAGAGCCCAGCTGAGAGCAATCACATGTTACAGCAAGTTTTCTTTCCCCCCCTTTCTTCAGATACAGCACAAAGAATCCCTCTCTGCAGTCGGAGACGGTTCATTACAAGAGAGGGGTAAGCCAGCAATTCTCCTTGCCTTCCTTCAAGATAGATTTCTCAGACTGGAAGGATGATGAGGTAAGTCTTTTCTCAGCATCCCCTTCTTTTCACAAGCTTGTTGTCCCAGAAGCACTAGACTCCATTTAGTGCCATGAAGTTAGGGCTGTAGAACCCTTTCCCAGCTGCCATGGCCTGTTTTGTGGGTATGAGATGAATGGGGCCCCAGGAGGAGCAGATATGAACACTGTATGGGAATTTGGCAGGTAGATCAAGCAAACAGGGAAGAAACCCAAAGAAGCAACTTTTGATATCACTTATCAGCTGGCATCCCAGTGTCTAGTGTAGGAGGGAGACTGCAGAGCTTGGTACTGGAGCTCTTCCTGGAGGAACCTGCCACTCCTCAGCCTTCGTCTCCCTGAACAGCCAAAGAGCTCCTGGGAACAAATGTCTGTCTTGGTGGGGTTTTTGTTTTGTTTTGTTTTTTTTGCTGGTCCCCTGGACCATTGCTCTCCGAAGCAGGGTGCATGCAAGACAGCTCACTGGGGTGCAGGGAGGAACTTCAGTAGTGCTCCTATGTATCTTATAAATAATAAATACACATATATTGGGAGTACGTTCTCAACGTTTTTTACTGGTTGGATGGGCAGTCAAAATACTTTATAGATTATCGCTCTAGAAGGCTGCTGTTGAAGGGCTACATTCTGCATTATTGAATGTAGCAGTACAGTGAGGTGGGGGGATACTCTCCCTTCTGAGGCAGATTCACACTGGTGCATTATTGGTGAACAAGGGAATGCCTTTCCTCCTTTTAGTTTAACCCATAACTGCAAACAAAGGAAGGCTTGCTTTTAATTAAACTCTGTGGCTGTTACCACATAGCAAGATCTGTGGAATCCTGTTAATTTTAGTATCTTTGCAAAATTCCAACCCAGGCAGTCACTGCTTCTTGAGCCCCTGAGCTTTGGCTCAAGGACTTCCCCTGCATGTGATGCAGGGCAGGGAGGCCTTGATCTTTCCCTTGCTCTGTGAAGGTCTGCCATGAAAGATGCCTGATGCAGAGGAGTTGGACTGCAGCTACTGCTAATGTATTTGTTCCTGTGGACCCCTGTCCCAGATCAACTATGATACAGTTCTCATTTCCTGACCCAAGGCTGTATTGTATAAGTAAAACCTGACAGATAACTCCAAATATTAAAAAAAAAGAAGAAGAAAAAAAAAGTGAAAAAAAGCAATCTTTCATGTATTTTGAAAGACTGAATAGCTATTGTGTCGAAGTTACAGTTATAACCATAATCAGTCCCATGTCTCAACAAATGCCATGGTGGTTACCAAAATCCTGCAGAGTCTGGTCTCCTGATGTCTTGGCTTTTCTGCCAATATGTGATTTCACAAGTTCAGCATACAAAAGCCTGGAAGAGCTGCTTTTCAACCCCTTCTGTCATCTGAGAGAGTTAGAAAGTAGGAGCTCAGATCTCTTTCTTCTTAAAGAATTGAGAAACTTAATTTTCACCTTTGTTCCTGCCAGCAAGGTCTTAAGTACTAAAGTCACATTCCTTTGACAGCTTGAAGGGAGAGATGCTACGGAAAAGCTTCTAGCTCCTTTTGCTTGATTCTGCTGTGTCTTCTGTCTCCTCTTTTTTTTTTCATTGGTGTTACTGGGAGCTCTGATTGTGGAGGTAATACAGAACAAGTACTGTGATTCGGAAGAGTTTCTTCTCCTATTTTGGCTCTGTGTATATATCAGTCCTTGTCCTTGTAAGTCCAGTAAAATGCACACAGCTAAATCTTAAGTGGCCACTGAAATGCAGCACTTACAACTGAGAGAGCTGGCAGAGTGTTATCACTGAGCTGTGTACAATTGCATGCTCCAGATTGCTTTCCAGTATTGCTGCTGGTGTTGTCCAAAAAACCCAGATTTACTTTGTGTTTTTGCTCACTGGAATACTTGCATATGATGTAGTTCTTGGCTGGCCAACAGAAGGGAAAATAATGTTCTGTTGGGTTGTTAGGTGGAAAGCTTTATAAAAGTTTACTATGTCTTCATAATATACTGGTTTGCTTGCAAGTTACAGTGTATGGCTTGTGTTGAGGCAGTTGTTTTCAGGTCCGTAAAAATGAATGTGAAATGGAGCCTTAAAGAGGCCTTTTGTTTGAGAATGCAAAAGTTTGTCGTAAAGCAACCACAAATCTGTGATGTGACTTTCCCTTCAAATTGACAAACAGTAAGTGTTGTCGTACTGTGATAAATCAGAGCAGGAAGCAAAGCAAAACCATAAACTTCTTTCAGCAATTTTAATCAATTGTCCTCGATGAATGTCCCTCTGTGGCATGCCATAAAGGCTCAAAAATGCAGGCTGGAAAATAGTGGCTTAATGAAACTCTTCTATAACAAATACTGAGTGGTTAAATGAGATTTTTGTGTTTGCTTTGTTACTCTGCTGTTCTGGAAAGAGAATGGATTCTGGTAGTTTAAAAGAGGAATAAAATGTGAAACTCTTATACAGAGGATGAAAATCAATGTCCCTCAAGCTTGAAGACAAGCTCGGTCAAATCATAAGGTCTTTTAGGACATACCTGTTTGGAATCACATTTGAACAGATGTGTGTGTGTGTGTGTGTGTGTGTGTGTGTGCAAAGCTTTGTTAGACAGCTAAGAGTCACTTCCAGAAAGCACTGCAGAAGCCGAGTAGCCCCAGAGGCAAGTAACATGCACGAGGAACATGCAGCTATGGACAGAAGAGCAGCAGAACTGCAGTCCTCTCTTCCCCTGGCTGGTGAGCTGTTGCAATCCAAAGCACATACCGGCAGCTCTTGGCAGAGGCACAGCCATGTGGCTAATGGCTATGACATACTTGACTGGTCATTCACTGGGCATATCATCTCCTGGTGTACAGTTACCATTCATTTCAGGATGAACATTTAGGTTGTAATTCATTTGAGGAGAAATACTTACAACTATGTTAAAGCTCATGGTCAGGGTCACCTTCCCTGGAGGGGAAGCCCTGAATCACCACCTGAGCGGTGCTGCGCCTCCCAATTCGTGCTGTGCTGCTTCGAATTGGGTCTCAGTTTTCACTGAACAACTGAAAACAGAATACCTGGTGAAATGACAGTTTCCTCTCTCTTGGCAAGAGATGAGACAAAAAAATCCAAGCCAATAATTAATGAAAACCACCAGAAATCCAGTCTCTGAGCCACTTCCGTTCTTGGCATAGGATCGTGTTTGTAAGGTTGCATTTTTCTTGTGTTTGTAAGATGACATGGAGCTTTTGAAGTGCCTTAATGAAGTGCAGGGCAAAGGAAGAAATTGAGTCTGTTTTCCTTGCACTCAAGTGAGATCTTAAATTTTCACTCTCGCCAATTAGAAGGCTAAGGACCTGAATTTCATAACATGCCAAGAGATGGAACTCAGTCTGGTGTTTCCTTAAAGTGTTGCATGAGCTTGAAGTTTTGCAGATTTTTCTGTATGTCTTCAGGAACTTCATACAGAGTCAGGACTTCTTTTCTAGTGTAGGGAGCAATAGTGTGTACTGCTATGCTATAGCCAGTATATCATGGAATCACAGAATGGTTAGGGTTGGAAGGGACCTGAAAGACCATCTGGTTCCAGGCCCCCTGCCATGGGCAGGGACATGTATATATGTTGTAGTTATTCTGGTTGACTCCCTTTGAAAGTTGGTGCCTGAATTTTAAATTCTCCTGCTCTTTTGTGTCATTTTGAGACCAGGGACTGGGTCAGAAGGTGCTTTCATTCCTCTGATGTTACCTCCATCTCGAGCATTGTCTTCAGGCAAGCCTGGTGTGAATTGTCTAACCTCCTCTCATTTCTCTCCCTCAGCTGAACTTTGACTTGGATCGTGGCGTGTTCCCTGTGGTTATTCGAGCAGTGGTGGATGAAGGAGATGGTAAGCGTATGGTGGTATGCTCCCATGGTCATCTAGATCTCTTTGAGGTTATGTGACTCCTTCAGGGCAGGCCTTATTCTGCAACGATGAAAACACTTTACTTGTAGCATAGGCTTGGGGAACCGTTCCAGAATAAAAATATTTCAGGATTTCACCTTAACTTCCTTGTATTGGAAGGGCCCAGCTAACCATGGGTTCTTACATAGAAACACACTTTTAAAAATAGCCTCATTTCTTTACAGGAAAAATGACCAGGTATTTAGTGTTGGGATAGTGTTTTGGTGAGCTCCTGGCTCTGCCATCAATGACAGGAACAAATCAGAGCAGGTTACTTTCTCTTTGGGTTTTGCGTTTGCAGTTAGTAAGGCAAGAAGGGAGTTGGTCTTTTCCCCATCTTTAAAGGGTGAGTTATCTGCATAAAGCCTATAGCTAACTGTAGGGTGGGCCTTCCCCTAGGAATGGTCAGAGAAAAAGAAATGGCTTTCAAATGCTTAGCCCACTGTTCAAACAGATACAGCTTCTTCCAGCAGTTTAAGATTCTCCTGCTTCTTCTGAATGGTGCTGAATGGTTACAATTAAAGAGCATAACCTTTGATAAGAAATAATATTGTTGATTATTTTTAAAGCATATTGCCATTTTGGAGGGGGAAGTCCAACAAGTGCTTGGATTGTTACATTCCACAGTATTTCCCTTAGGGGGAGTGTGCTTTTGGGCTCCATGTGTTTGCACTTGTTCTAAGCATCAGCAATGAAAAGCACACAAGGAACCCATACGTTCTCTAAAGCAAGGGCCTGATGTGGTTAGCAGGACCAGCATTTCACTTCTACTGTTTGTAACATTTTGCACAATATATAAGAATAATTAGAAAGGAAAAAAAAACCCATTGTTGATTGCACTGTTTAGTGCAGTCACTTGCTCAGTTTCTTATGTTATAGATGTGAAATTGCCCAGAAATTCATTGCCTTATTTTACAGTCCTTCAAGCACAGTGAAACAGAACCAATTTAAATTGGGTCAACCAATTTAAAGTGTGACTAACAAAGCACAGTGCAACATAGAAGAAAAGAAACTACTTCTAAAGTGCATCTATATTTAGTGATTTCGGGCAATGTTAGTAAAATTGACATAAAAGTATATTTCTTAACCATAAATATAAAACACCCTCTATTTATGGAGCTTTTGGCAAGGTATTTGTACTTTTGAATGTTGGGCATGCCTAGAAGGACCAAAAATAGAACAGAAGGCAGCATTGGAAGCATAGATTTATGCACATACCATGCCCAGTCTTAGCCAATAGTGTCCTGTCATCTCTTTTAATAACCTGGAAAGGCAATTGCTTTTAAATCCTCTCCTGGAGAGAGTATCTGCACAAAATACGTGACACTTGAGTGAGATTTGAGGAAATTGTTGTGTATTTTGGTTCTGTTTTTAACTGCTGGGACTGGAAGGAGCTGGCCTTGTGTGTTTGGAGCACCTGGAAAATTACAGCTGGCCTGTGACTGCTTGTGTTAAATAAAATTGAATGGCAAATTAAAATAGCAGTCAGTGAGATGTTGGTTTGGACCAAATTCTGACAGGAGATGTGTGCATGCCATGGAGAATGTGAGCTTGCAGTGTTACCCCTTTCACATTGCTGCCAGTGGTATGGCTCTCAGGGAAAGTTACAGAAACCCTTTGGGGAGGGAAGGTGCTGCACTTCTCCAGCCACACATGCTGCTTGAATGCCATGGAGGATATGAGGCAAGCGATGCCTGCTATCTTTCTTGGCTATTCAAACTGCTGGGAGAGTCCTGAATTTCATGTATTGAGTAAGCTGGAGCAGCCTTGCTCTTGGCTGGCAGTGGGGGGAGCAAGCAGATGGATTCCCAGTTTTAGCCGCCTTTTCTGTATGCCATTATGTTCCCAATTACACCCAAATTGTCATGTCAGGTCTTGGTTACCAGCAAATCTGCAGGCATGGACTCTCTTCTCCCATCTGCTGCTGTTCCCAAACCTGATCTTTGTGCTGTAGTCCAGTGAATGGTTCCTCTTGTTGTCTCTGCTGGTCTGGAGGCCCAAAGGAAGCTGCTGAGCTCCCCTCCCTTTTAGACAACTCAGAAGTTGCTTCCTTCAGCTTTTTGGCACAGAGCTGATAGTTTCTGCCAGCTCTTCTGCACGTGCTGAGCACAGCCCAGGTACTTGTTGGTCCGGGCAGGGCAAGGTGGATACATGACTTCCCTTCCCTCCGTGACTCCTCTATGGCCTCTGTCTTCCATTTCCGTGTAATGAGTCTGAACATAATTAAGCAAAAGGCTCCAACCAGTTGGAGCTGAACAGAACCTTAAACCCTTGAGCCAAGGAGACTGGGATTGTACCTCCGCTTCTTCTATTCTATATTTGCTTTTGGAATCATGGATGCAATACTGAAACCTCTGACAGACCCTTGTCAGTGCTGTTCAACTAAGAGGGAAGCCTTGAGTTTGGAAGAGGGAAGATATGATGTTTTTCTTTGGGGAAAAAAATCAGAGAACTGGACAGAGATTGGTCCAGATTTTATGTCCAGATTGGATTTTATGTCCAGAATTGGTATGAGAAATAAATGTTTTATGAGCACGTCAGATTAGATTGAAATAAAGAGATAAATAACAGGTCTGGAAGTGCTGCCAACTGCAGTTAAACCAGATGGATTTATTAATCTCTGTGATCAATTCAGGTAATTAAAAACAGGAATTTGAGGGGAGAGTGGAGTCCCACTGAGCGCTTTGTTTTACTTTCCCTTTCCAGCCTCTGAAAACAAAGTGGAATAGTTTGGAGCACCCGAGATAACGAAGGCATGTCTGTATGGGGCCCACTATAGAGCCCAGCAGGGTTTTGTTCTTGCTCTGCAGGAGTGCAAGATGACAAGAAGAGTTTTAAATTGCAAGAGGAGTTGAAAATAGAACAGACGGTGGTTCAGGATTTGTGAACAGACTGAAATGGAGCTTAGGGTAGTTTTATGCTTGTGCTGTTTTCAAGGTTTAACCAGGACTGCTCTTTCTATTTTTGCAGTGGTGGTTGAGGTGACAGGTCATGCCCATGTTCTTCTGGCTGCATTTGAAAAGGTAAATGAGTTCTTTTTCCATCTGTCCCTGTCCTTGCATATGTAGATGTTTTCATGGGTCATTAGTTTGTATTTATATAGCACTTAGCACAATGGAGTCCTGCCCTTGACTGAAGTTCCTGACTGCGTGCTATTGTACAAATAATTGCTTGCAGCAGCTCCTGTGCAGCCTGTAATTATCATTTGTACCTCAGCTGGTCACTCAGCTAATTGTAGCTGGTGTTTCCTGTGAGTGGGAGAGGGTGTGCCTCAGTGTCTGAGATGTTTGAGGGTGGAAGGTCTTGACCATAGCTGCTACCATGCGGTTTTCCAGGGCATCGTAATCTCTTTCCAGAACTGGATCTGATGTGTCCAGACCCTGTTGCGCCATTGTGTGGCCTTAGTTTACACGTAGGACCAAGCCCTTGTAAATAATTAGGGTATATCCTGCATAAAGACTTTGAACTCCACTACTTTTCAGTGGCATGTTTGATGTAGCTGACTGATGCCTACATGGTAAGGCTAAGCCAAGCTGTATGCCACAAACCTTCATAACAGAATCTCTTCCCATGATACTTGGATCCTGAAAACAGTTGCAAGATCCATAACTGCATCATGTCGTGTCTGGTTGTGGTAATACTGCAGACACATATCCTGGGCAAGTGATACTTGTAGTGATATGCTAAGATGAGGCAAGAGATGATAGAGCAGAGTTGGGCATGTAGAGGGAAACAGCATCAATTCTGTGCTCTTAGAAATGCCTCCATTCCAGGCTGGCATGTGGCTGACTTCTGTTTCTCAATCTGCTTGATTCCTGACATGTCCTTGAGCAAGTTGTCAGGTCTTATTTTGTTCCTTCTGGTTGGATAATGTGGATGATGACAAGCTGAGTCAGAGGGCATAGGAAGCACAGTCAGTCCTAAAGCAGCCCTGTGGCTGGAAGATGTTCTTAAGTTTTCTAGGTTGCTTTTTGTTTGAGTTAGTGAAGAAGATGAGTTTTCCTATGCTAGAAGGGCTGCACTGTGCACTGACTCTGTTGGTAGTTCTGTTTCTGGCAGTTAGAGATGAGGTGGGCAGCTGCAGCACCCCTGGGACTAGTGCAGGGATTTACTCTTCTAGTTTCCTCCTCCATCTTCTCTGCAAAAACAAAGCACACTGGAATCTCTCAGTTGTTCAGCAGCACCAGGGAGAGGACACTGTGGGCAGTGGGTCCTTGGGTTAAGCTGTGGTGTTTGGAGCCCATCTGTAATCTTGGCAGAAAAGTATGGTAGGTGGAGAACCCCAGTCTTGCAAAATGATTGTTCAGCCATTTCTGAGGAGAGAAAAATAGATGAGACCATCAGCTTCCTGCATATTACAGCCTGATTTTGAAGGTATGCCTGTTTGCCTCCCATATCTGTGAGACTCACCTGTGCTCACCACCTATTGCCTACATAACTTTTTGGTTGTAGCAAGGTTCAGTTTATTCTTTGGATCTGATGCTGCAAGTATGATTTTTACTTACAAAGGAGTGTGTCTAGTTGCTATTTTCCAAGTATCCAAACATAGCCCTGTTGCAGTAAGCCCAGCCTCTGCAGTCATGGAGTAGAGCTCTTGCTGGATTTGTCATAGAATCATAGAATAGTTAGGGTTGGAAAGGACCTTAAGATCATCTAGTTCCAACCCCCCTGCCATGGGCAGGGACACCTCACGCTAAATCATATCACCCAAGGCCTCGTCCAACCTGGTCTTGAACACTGCCAGGGATGGAGCATTCACAACCTCCCTGGGCAACCTATTCCAGTGCCTCGCCACCCTAACAGGAAAGAATTTCCTCCTTATATCCAATCTAAACTTCCCCTGTTTAAGTTTTAACCTATTACCCCTTGTTCTGTCACTACAGTCTCTAATGAAGAATCCCTCCCCAGCATCCCTATAGGCCCCCTTCAGATACTGGAAGGCTGCTATGAGGTCTCCACACAGCCTTCTCTTCTCCAGGCTCAACAGCCCCAACTTCCTCAGCCTGCCTTCATATGGGAGGTGCTCCAGTCCCCTGATCATCGTTGTGGCCCTTCTCTGGCCTTGTTCCAACAGTTCCCTGTCCTTTTTATGTTGAGGACACCAGAACTGCGCACAATACTCCAGGTGAGGTCTCACAAGAGCAGAGTAGAGGGGCAGGATCACCTCCTTCACCCTGCTGGTCATGCTCCTTTTGATGCAGCCCAGGATACGGTAGGCTTTCTGGGCTGCGAGCGCACACTGAAGCCGGCTCATGTTCATTTTCTCATCAACCAACACCCCCAAGTCCTTCTCCACAGGGCTGCTCTGAATCTCATCTTTGCTCAGCCTGTAGCTGTGCCTGGGATTGCTCCAACCCAGGTGGTAGGACCTTGCACTTGGCATGGTTAAACTTCATAAGGCTGGCATCAGCCCACCTCACAAGCGTGTCAGGGTACCTCTGGATGGCATTCCTTCCCTCCAGCATATCAACCGAACCACAAAGCTTGGTGTCATTGGCAAACTTGTTGAGGGCACACTCAATCCCACTGTCCATGTCAGTGACAAAGATGTTAAACAAGACCAGTCCCAACACCAATCCCTGAGGGACGCCACTCGTTAGTGGTCCCCAGCCAGACATTGAGCCGTTGACCACAACTCTTTGTGTGCGGCCATCCAGCCAGTTCTTTATCCACCAAGTGGTCCATCCATCAAATTGATGTCTCTCCAGTTTAGAGACAAGGATGTCGTGTGGGACAGTGTTGAACGCTTTACACAAGTCCAGGTAGATGACATCAACTGCTCTACCCCTGTCCATCAGCTCTGTAGCCCCATCATAGAAAGCCACCAAATTGGTCAGGCAGGATTTCCCCTTAGTGAAGCCATGCTGGCTGTCACCAAGCACCTTGCTGATTTTCATGTGCCTTAGCATGCCATCCAGGAGAATCTGCTCCAAGATTTTGCCAGGCATGGAGGTGAGACTGGGCTGTAATTCCCCGGGTCATCCATTTTCCCCTTCTTGAAAACGGGGGTTATATTTCCCTTTTTCCAGTCATCGGGAACTACACCTGACTGCCATGATTTCTCAAATATGATGGACAGTGGCTTAGCAACTTCATTTGCCAGCTCCTTCAGGACCTGCGGATGGATCTCATCAGGACCCATGGACTTGTGCATGTTCAGATTTTTAAGATGGTCTCGAACCAGTTCCTCTCCTACAGTGGGCGCAAGGTCTTCATTCTCACAGTCCCTGTATCTTCTTCCAAGACTTGGGTGGTTTGGTCAGAGCCTTTGCCAGTGAAGACCGAGGCAAAGAAGTCATTCAGAACCTCAGCCTTCTCCAAATCCTGTGTAGCTAGTTCTCCCAAGAGCTTCCTGAGAGGGCCTACGTTCTCCCTAATCTGTTTTTTATTTGCTATGTACCTGTAGAATCCCTTCCTGTTATCCTTAATACCCCTAGCCAAGTTTAATTCTAACTGGGCCTTAGCTTTCCTAACCTGGTCCCTAGCTTCCCAGACAACATCCCTGTACTCTTCCCAGGCCACCTGTCCTTGCTTCCACTTATTATAAGCCTCTTTTTTCATTTGAATTTTCCTCACGAGCTCCTTATCCATCCAAGGAGGTCTCCTGCCCCTCCTGCTGCACTTTCTTCTAGTTGGAGAGTTGGATGTCCCAACTCTCAAGTTCCCATTCTGGCATCCCATGGCTAGCACTTGATAATAGCACTTTGTAGAAAGTAGGAAAATACACACATATTGGTAATGTGTTAGCATGAGGGCAGTAGTGAAGCTCTGGAAAGTTCTGTCTGATGAGACTGGAAAGTGGCTTAAAGTGCTGCAGCTGTGGAAGCAGGATTTCAAGGATTATGGGTAAATTTCACCTACTGTGCGGGACCTTGGAGCATTCTGGATGCACAAAGTTGATAGCAAAAGCCTGAAAGTAATGTTCAGGGACCTGAATGAGGTATGAGGCAAAACTGGGAACTAACTAAAGCTGGTCATGCCATTGCATCAGTGCTGAATTATGTCCTGTGTCCAGGTCTGAGCTCAAGGACTGAAAGTGCCTCTGTTCTTCTTCAGTCTGTGTGTTCTGTGAGTGGGAGACGCTGTCTGGTGGGGCCACTTTTTCTCATCTTCCACTGCATACTTAAAACAAGATCAAAATCTTTCTTTTAATAAAAAAGTCACAGGGCAAAGTACATGTTGAGTTCTTTCTCCTCCCTGTTTCATTAAAATATATTCCCCATCCGTAGATTAATTGGAGCTTTTGAAGTGTAGGTCCATAAATCCAGAGGAGGTCCTTGCTAATAAGCACTGCTGATGATTACCAGAGCATGCTCAGAGGACAGACAGACCTACTTGCTATTTATATGTACCTTTAGGATCAGAATAGTAAGGTTGATGCTCTGTGCAGTCTGGCCTTGCAGCTCTTCCAAAGGCAGACACTTGGCACTCTATGTTTGCCTGGAGAACAGGACTGTTTTGTCTTTAGGTGCGATCTTGCTGTCTCCTTCTTCTGAAACTCCTTCAGCAAATGGATGCATGGCTGCAGCTATTCACAGCAGCAGAGCCTGCTGGAGTTTCCCTTAAGTCTCCTTTCCTGCTCTCTAGACTCTGGCAGGAGAGCTGTTTTCTTTCAGTTTGGCTGGCCCTTGTGAAGGATGGAGATAATAGAAATAGTGCACTATTCCTGTCACCAGTTCTTACACCAGGTATATACAGGATTTTTGCAGCTGTGTCTGCTGCCAGTGAGCAAGAGAAAGGCTTGAGGCAGCCACTGCAGCTCTGAAGGTGGCAATGTGGAGTGTATGTGAATTGGTTTGGACTCCATCCAGTGAATGATTCTTGTTCTCGGCCTCCTGCCAGCCCCTTGCTCTCTTGGGGCTCTGGCCTCAAGAGGGGCTCTGTAACTGGGTGTTATTTCAGGGTGTTAAGAAATAGCCCCTCCCAAGTCTTGCTGGATTGGCTGAAGAAGTGTTTGCACCCAGTTGGACTGCTTGCAACCTGAAAGCATGCAGTGTGTCAAGGGATTTTTGTGCTTGCTCTAACCCATTTCAGCCAGGTTTAACTTGAGCCAAGTCCATCTAGCTCTGCACTGGAGCAGACAAGGGGCACTGATACCCTGTTCCATTAACTGCTGGGAATGATGGGCATTCAGGCTGTCCCTGTTACACACATGCCACTCTCTCCTTAGGCAGCAGACATCAACTCTGAGCATGAGTCTGTTTGCTCTTCATTTGTACACTTCAGCTATTTAATATATTTCCTTTTTTTCCCACTAGCATGTTGATGGCAGCTTTTCTGTGAAGCCATTGAAACAGAAGCAAATTGTAAGTACCTCTTTCCTTAATTAAAGATGTTTGCTGGTGTCCCTCAGGTGGCTGTCTGTACCCAGTGGGAAGCTTTAGTGTTAGTTCACCGAGAGCCTGAGACCTCACCTCATTAGCTGAGATATCACAAGCAAAGGCAGTGAGCTGCTGGCAGCCCTTAATGTTGGGTAGTTTGTTGCACAAACAGGGGTGTGTTGGGGAAAGAAATACAGCAGTGGGACTGGCAGAGCTGTAGTGCAGGTCTCTGTGCTCCCCTGGGAAGCAGGCACTATGTATAAATCCAGTCTTCCCTATACATTCCTGCCTTGCTGGTAAAGCACAGTACTGATGCTTACATATATAGATGTAAGTAAATTCGATTTGTATAAGTGAGCTTAAATGCTGTATGTGTTAAGAAGTGTGAAGCACATCTGTTCATTGATGTTGCCTGATCTCCTTAGGTTCTGTGTTTTGTGGTGTGGATGGATATCTTTTCAGGCCCCCAGTTTTCTGCCCGGAGACTGAAAACTCTTAGCTTTCCACACGTGTGAGCATGTTACGGTATGAGGGGATCATCTTCTCCCTACACAAGCTTCCTTGTTGTGCCCACAGTATCTTTGGAGCAGCCCCGGGGACTGAGACCTTTTGGCTCATCTTGCCTGTTCCCTACGAGTATCTTGGGACTTGAACAGTCACAACATGGTCTTGCTTTTAAGTTGTAGTTTGTGTCCCAGACTGCACACATCATGAGGGGAAGGGAAGAGAGGAGACTGGCAAACTGGAAACATCAGGGGTCTGTAGCCCTTTTTTTAGCCCATCCGATATGGTGTGAAGCTGTGTGGTGCCTTATCAAGACAGAAATTGCATCCAGTCTTGCACTGAAAGAAATATATTGGCAACTGCAAAGATTGCGAAGAATTTCACCTTCTGAAAGGAAACCTGGTAGTGATCCTGCTGCAAGGATCAGCTTGAAATGTCTTGGAGAAATAGATGAGATTTTGGTGGTTGATCCCTTCACCTTCAGATGTGTGCTGTGTTTCTGCTGTAAATGTGTTTGACTTCAGCTGCTCATAATTGATGGCTAGGGTTTTCTGATCTGAATCAAGAAACCTTTTACTACTAAGAAGATCATCAAGTGCCTTCATTACACATTTTTTTTCTCTAAGATGTTGCAGTCCCCAGGTCAGAAAAGAGATGCTAAAAGGTATCAGTGACTCCCATATAAAAATTGCATTCAGTAGTTCACTACCTGCCTCACCAATGCTGTGCAGAGACTCAAAGCCTGTCCTTCAGACTTGCTCATGCCTAGTGACAGCGCTTTCAGAGCTTTATCCTGATGCTAGTGGCTATGCTTGCTGCTTCAGGTGGACTTCTGTTCTGAGCCCTGTGTGCCCTAGATTGACCTGATTAGTGCTTCCCTCCCTTTCTTGGTGCTTAACTTGGCTGTGTTGCACCATTATCTCCTGGCTAATTGATTGATCTGTATCCCACAGGTACTCTTAATAGAGGCAGACAAAGACTGTTTTGGGAGGGAGTCAATGGAGTGTGTGAAGGCAGGTTTGTACTGGGAACATCTGGAAGAGCCATACTTTCAAAGGGAGAGCTCCTGCACTGTGCTAGAAGAAGCTGCCTGAGCAGTGAGGGAGCAGAGCAGTGTGGTACCAGCAGTGCCTCTTTCTCACATACTTTTTGACCAGAGAAGAGCATTTGTGAGCTCATGAAAAGCAAGATTTAAAAGAAAAAACTAGTGCTTACATGGCTGTGACCTCTCTGAGTCGGTGCTTGGTTACTGCACACACTACCACAGTGTGTGTGCCAGTGTCCATTCAGCACTTGGGACACCTCAAATGGAGGGCTGTGTTGCTGGAGCTGCTCTTCAGGGAAATTTCCACCCTACCACAATATGGTTAGCTGCTCCTGCAGTGAAACAGTGTGTGCCTGTCTGTCTTCACTAGCAGAGCATATAACCTTCCCACTCTGTGTTTGGTTGTGGGTACTTGCTTTTTGTTGGCAGTTTGTAAAATGTAATGCTTCGATGATCTCCCCTATGGCTTTTAAAATAGAAGGAAGCTCTTTCTAGAGGATCACACAGTACCATTGAAACTTGAGGTGACATCTGCACCCATAAGAGCATAGAGCTGAGGTATAGAGTATATGTATGGAGTAAACTGTCTGTGTAACCTTGTACGTTCTTCGCCATCATTGCTTTTCTTTGCCTTCCCCTCCTTGCCATTGCCGGGATTGCCAGGTACCTTTTGTGTGCATTGACTTCTAAAGCTCTTTGGGAGCAGGAAGCAGCAGCTAATGAGCTGAACTGCTTTGTTCTCTCAGCTGAGATCAGTTATAATGTATGTACTGATCTGTTTCAAGAAATCCAGCATGGATGAATACAAACGGATCAGCAGAAAAACATGACCTGGACTTGGCTGGTGACTCCTGTGTGCATCAGCTGAGGCTTTATATAGCAACAGAAGCCTTTGGAAGGATGACATGGTGCGGGAAGGTTTGGAAAAGCGTGAAGGTGAAGGACTGCGTTGTGTGCAGTCATCTACTTATTTACTCCTACTCTTTTAAAACCTAGAGATCTTTCTAGTAAGAGCCATGTTGCACTGCTCACCCTTTGCCTACTGGGACATCTTGGGATTTTTTAGAGGCAAGCAGTTAAAATGAATGCAGAATCCTGCTGCGTCTTCCTTCCTGGCATCTTCTTTGCTTTGAGCTGACCACTTCTGCACTTGCTGTCACTCATTACAATCCTCTCAGCAGTCAGGATGCTGTACCAAGACTGTTTGAGATGTCAAGTTACAAAAGGACATCTCCCACGTAATTGTTCCCAAACTTCCTGGGTGAGTTGTGAGCCACTGCAGAATGTTTTTGTTCAGCAGTCCAAAGGCTGACCTCATTGCCATGAAATACAGCCCTAGAACAGATTGTAATCTGCACGCTGAGTTATATGGGGAGACTTTGGAATTAGTTTGTTAAAGCTGCTGCATCCCAGCTCAGAGCATTTCTGAACTGGCTGATGGGTTGGATATAGCTAGCTGCTGCCCCCATCTTGGTGTGTGACATCTTCTGCAGCACTGAAATCCCATGGCAAAGCCATTGCTCCTCTGAGCACCTGATTTGACAAAAGGAGAGCTGCAGATTACAAATGGAGATGCCAAAACCCATGGATCCACAAGCTGTTGAAGCACTGGGCTCCCAGTGACTTGGTTGCACTGTATGGTGGCAACTGGACAGTTACTAGAGATGGGAGGAAAGTGTTTGCTTCCCCTGTTTGTGAGATGTGTCAGTTTGATACCTTGCAACCCCTGCACCATTCTGCCTGTTGTGGGATTTTGTGTGGCGGAGCACACCTGGCTCTGGGGCAGCTGCTGTGTAGCACCACATCTCGGGGAACTGGTATCTTTGTGCATCCTTGTAGGAGCTGCTGCTGACAGCTCCGAGTCTCGTGCTGCATTTCCTGGCTAAGCTCAGAAACAGGGGAGAACACCCCGCAGTGCAGAGGGGTTTGCCTTGCTGGGACTTGAACTGTCAGCCTTTCTGATGTGCTTTAATCCAGCTGGTTGGGGCAGTTTGCGGGCAGCTGCCAGTGGCTGCACAAGGGCATGGTTTGGAGGAGTGTGTCCCAGGTCTGTGGCTGTGAGGAACTTCCCCCTGTCCTTGAGCATTTTCTGCTACCACACATCCCAGTTTAGAGAAGCCACCAAGGACCTGGGGATCATAATAAATGACACTGCACTAATGTAGGATTGTCCCTCAAGTGTTTTTGTTTTTCATGCTAAGGGACATGGTTTGTCTGTCTTCAGCAGCTTGACTTGTTCTCAGGTAATGAACAAAGAAGTGATGTGCATCCATGGATGTGTCAGTAACAAGCTGTTGCACAGTACCTCTGCTGAGGTTACAAAGATGAGTGGAAGTTAATACTGGTTAAAGTTAAGCAGTACTTTACAGAAGGAAAGGACTGTGAAAGGCTGATTGCCTCTGGCTTATTTGAACTGTGGGTGCATATACCCTCTTGATCTGTGAGACAAGTAGAGTACTTGGTTTTTAGGTGATCTTGATAACAACAAAAGTGGGCAGCTGGGCTCCCTGCTTGGACAAGACAGGATGGGCACCACTTTTTGAGCAAGGAAGAGCTCATTCTACCAGCTATACTTTGTAATATTTCTGTTAGTGTTTTCAGGTAGCTATAGGGGAGCTAGCTTTGTGGGTGTAACATGGACATTTTGACAGAGGGAGGGAGGGGAGGTGATCACGAAGCAGCAATGACAGAGCAGCTGGCACTCCAACTGTTGTCTTCTTCGACAGGTTGACCGGGTGAGCTATCTGCTTCAGGAGATCTACGGCATCGAGAATAAAAACAACCAAGAGACCAAGGTAAAGGTGCTCAGGAGCCTCCTGCTCCCTGAGCTGTGGGTTTCCAGCCTGCACCTTCTGGTTTTGAGCTTAACTATGGGGCTTGGCAGGGCAACGTGGAGATGCTTCCCAGAACAGCTGTCAAGTCTATGTCACTCCTGCAGGCACTGAAGATGCTCAGGGATGACAGGTTCTCACTGTCGTAAGGCCCAAACACTCCGTGGAATTGTACTGATATAATTTTAGACAGCATGAGACTCAAGGCTGTTTCCTGGGACAGGGATTGCTGAGAGAGAAGGGCATCAGTGCCCCAGGGGTGTATCAGAGCACGGAGACAGTAGAGACAGCCATTGGCTGGTGTTGCTGCCTCTGTGCAGTCAAGGCAGTAGTGTTGTGCTTTGCTGCTTTGGCTCCTTCATGTTCTTCTGTTTGGTTTGGGAGTTTTTGGGTGCAGGACCTGCATATTCCTGTAGCGTTGCAGTGAACTGAGCTCTCTAGGACTTGCCAGTGTCCAGAGAGCAGCCTGCATTCCCCAGCAAAGAGGGAGCACAGCATCAGTAAGGGATGTGTGTGCAAATGCTGTAACAAGAAACATTGCCCATCCTCAGGCAGGAGCTTCTGCTGAATCCCAGCCTGCTGCACAGCGCCATGCAGATTATTGACTGCTTTATGCTTGCTTTGCCTCCTTTTGAGCTGCCCTTTGCTGCCACCTGGGCTGCAGTGTACCAAGTGCTGGCCTCAGCATCACACTGCTCTGCTGTGTGTGATGTGTGATTTGCAAACAGGAGTAGCCACAGAGCAAGACAAGCAGGATTTCTTCTCCAAGTAATGCAGTGTCCTGCCCAAAGCGTTGTGATCTCTGTCTTCCTTTGCAAACAGCACCTGAAGAGGCAGGAGGGAGAAGTCTTGTTAAAGATTTTTTTTTTTTTGCACAGGATGTATTTAAGAGCATTAAAGGCTTCTCTTTGAGTCCTACAGGGTCTTGTGATGATGCTCCTTATCCAGCCATCACACATTTGTTGCTCATCAGACAAGTGGCCTGGGGACATTTTTGTTCTTACTAGTGTACTTGGCAAACTGTTTGAATGGAAAAGTAAAAAGCCTGCCCTCCCTACCTCCCAAAATAGGTGAAGAGTCCATGTGATGGGGCAGACCTTGCAGCCTTTTGCTGGCATAGGCATCAGGATGGGTGTGGATGTGGCGGCAGCAGATGCTGTCTATCGCTGTTTACACCAAAGCTGCCCATGGTCTAGCATGTGGTTGCCCTAGAGACCAAAGGGGCCTCATGAAGTGGGATGAGGTGAAGGTGGAGGGTGGCCCACACTGGATCATCAGTTTGGTAGTGTTACTTCTATGGCGTTCTTGGGTGTCAGTGAAGAGAGCTCTTACGGTCAGAGAGTGGGTTTTTCCACCCAGCAACAGGTTCCTGGGTAGCTGTAATCCAGTTTTTGGGACTCTGACTGAAAGATGAGTGTGATGCACGTTCATGTGGGATGGATTCACACTGACCTTTGTACCGGGATAGCTGTGAGTGGGTGAGCATCCCAGGCTGGTTTTCCTGCAGCTGCATGAAGCTTGTGCCAGCGCAGGACACTGGTGAAGATGCTGTGACAGGAGAACCACGCACTCCTCTCTTGCTCAGAGGACCTATGGAAACTGGGCTAGGCATGGCTGGGGTGCCACCTTCCATCCAGCCTGGGGGCAGTCTAACCTGCTGCCTGCCACAGTCAGCAAGCAGATCCTTTATGGGCTGCTCTCTCTGGGGCAGAAAGGCTGGACTGTCGAAGAGACCACTTCCCTGCTTACCCTGGAGACTACCAGACAGGACCTTGTTCTTGGTCCCCCTCAGCCAAGGGGATCCCTACCCAAAAGGGGCTCCCCTCTGCACACAGACTAGCTCTGGAGAAGGGCAGCTGTGGATTCACAGTCAGTGCCCTCATCTCTGGCCTTCAGTGAGCTCAGAGCAGAGCCCTGAGAGGAAGGAGTGTCTGTATCAGGGCTGTGTGGGCTGCAGCTTGCTCTCCTTGAGAAACCCCTGCTGAGAGCTGTGGGAAGAAGATGCCAGCTCTTCCACGGACTTCTGGGTGGGAATTTCCCCAGGCCCCTTGGCAGTTCTCTATGGCTCTTGCCATTCATGTGCCCACATCTTGCCTCTTGTTGCAGCCTTCAGATGACGAGAACAGCGACAACAGCAATGAGTGTGTGGTTTGCCTGTCTGACCTCCGGGACACCCTCATTCTGCCCTGCAGACACCTCTGTCTGTGCAATTCCTGTGCTGACACCCTGCGATACCAAGCCAACAACTGCCCCATCTGCAGGCTTCGTGAGTATGTGCCCAAGAAACAAGGGCATCTTTCTCCATACTAGGCTCTTGTTAAGTCAGTGCAGGCTGTGAGAGGGAGTGTGTATTGTATATACCCAACCCTGAGGATCAGCATCAAACATGCTGCTGCTCTCACTGGTGTCTGAACACTCCTGTCACCTAAAATAGCTGTCCTTGAATAGGGAAGAAGAGCACGTGAGGGGAAAAAGGCTCTTTGTGCAGTGCCTCCCAGGCCACCTGCCCTCTCCCTGGGATGGATCTGAAGGTGCAGGTGCTCTGAGCTGTGCCATGCAGGCAGATCTTGTGTTTTGGTGAAAATGATGGAAAATCCACCAAAAGAAGGAATGTAGAAGCTTTATCCTGAGCATATCTGGCCCCTTCAGCAACCAGTCCCACCAGGGGGCTGTCCAAGCACTTTACATTGTTTGTGTTTTACCCTCTGGCAACTTGACTTTGATTTCACCAGGAGGCAGAGATGAGGTAACAGTCAGTTTGGAGTCCTTTGTTCTGCCAGGAGAATTCAGAGGATCTGCATTGCTTAGCTCCCAAAACATGGAAAAAGTGAAGTACCCATTCTAACACTAAGGCAGCACTTGCTGAATTCCATGTGTTTTCTCAAAGCACAGAGGCATAGGAATCTCTTGAGAGATGATGCCTGGTTTTTTGCTGGAATCTGCTGATTTTGTTTTACCTTGGGCTGAGGTATTTGTTTCTAATTGATATTTCTTAGCAAAAGAAAAAAGAGCCTAAGACAGGTATTTGGCCTGAGAAAAGTCTGAGTGGTTCAAATGTGGCAAACATGCAGTAACCGAAAACAGGATCTTATTAGAGGAAGTGCCAGACAGCTTTAACTATAAATAGCACAACTTAAAACACAGGGACAGTATTCTCTCATCTGCACAATGTGTGGAGGAGGTTGTGTTTGTTTGGAAAGTGCCCCCATGTCAGACTTCCTGGGAATCTGCTGCTGGGGAGTGCAGGGGCAGCAAGGATAGATCTGAACCTCTGTCCTCTTGCTCTAGGCTGGGTGCAAAAGAACTAGGGAAATGCCTGGGCTTTTCCTTACCTATGAGCAAGTTCTTACAGCTGCACCAAAACACACGTCTGGCTCATTCATCTGTGCCCTTGGCACAGAGGAACTAACAATATTAAAGATCTGCAGGTAGGAAATGGGACTGTGGGCAGGGAGTGGAGATCAAAGCTGTTGTGGTGGGAGGACCAAGGGCTGGCTGTGCTGGAGACAAGACTATACCCACTAACCCTCTGGCTGGGTTTGCAGCTATTGCAGAGCAGCACAGTGCTGGCTGGGGCAGCAGCTGGTGGGGCAGCAGCCGGTGGCAGGCACAATGCTTCCAGGGCCATCTGGACCCCAGAGCTGAGACTTGGGTCTGGATGAACCCAAAGTGGTTCACATGACACCCCCCCCCCCCCCCCCCCCCCCCCATCCTGTAGCTTGTAATGCACTGCTCAAGGCAAAGCTCATGTTTTTCTTACTGTGTTGTACAGTATCAGGCCTGAAGCACCCCTGTCCATGATGGTACTAGGGCAGGGAGTGCCTGTTCTCTGCAAGGACTTTGTACCCATAGTTTTTGGCCAGCAGATCTCTTCCCTGTCTAGCTCAAACCACAGCACCAGGCTTTGGTGTGCTCCACAGCCCTGCTCCCCTTGTACATGTGAAGATCCCCCAGGCCTATGGCATGTCTCTGACAAGCTGAGGAGCTCTGGTACACACCAGACATGACCTGGTCCCATTTGGCCATGCAGTCACCTGCTTGCTATTCTCTCTTAGCTTTCCGTGCCCTACTGCAGATCCGGGCTGTGAGGAAGAAGCCAGGGGCTCTGTCACCAGTGTCATTCAGCCCTGTCTTGGCACAGAATGTTGACCACGACGAGCACTCTGTAAGTACCTCCCAACCCTGTGTACAAAGCCTGGGCGCTGGTCTCAGTCCGAGCAGGCAGCCTGTGCATGCACCAGTTGCTTGTGTTCCTGGGACCTCAGGAGGTACACTCAGACGTTGGTCTTGCTGAGCAGTGCAGCCTTTCTTGTCAACCCTGCTGGACAGCCAGGATCTCTCCTCTCGTGGATTAACAATTAATAAACTTGGTTTTAGCCAAGTGCCCTCTTGTCTTTTGGAGGAAACAAATCCACAGAAACTTCAGTCTGAGAAGGTTTCTCGGCACCAATCCCAGCAGAAAAGTGGCAGGCTTTGGGCAGGATGGGAAAATGGGGAGGTGGCAGTTTGACTTGTACATACATCTTTGTGGCAGCATGCTCTGATGAAATGCCCTTGTCATCAGGGTTCCCAGCATGACAGCAGAAAGGCCTCTTTGTGCAAGCCTTCATGAGAAATTGAGGTCTCTGCAGGCAGCTGAGGAAACCTGGGATGGGAAGCGTGGTGGTGGTGGCCCCTGGGCCTGATTGCATGTCCTTGGTACTCATTCATGGCCTGGGCAGTGCTGTTGCACAGCTGGCTCTGGCGAGACATGTGAGGTCAGAGTGAGGAGAAGCAGAACTGCATCCAGATCATCTTGCAGACCTTCATGGGAACAGAAAGATAGTGTCACAGAAGCAGCCTTGTTTTACCCATCTGTCCTCTGCAGCACTGTAGCCCTGCTGCCTTCAACTGGGGGTAAGAAACAGAGCAGGGGAGAAACCCCGAGGGTTGTTGTGAAGCAGACCATGGTGTGTAGAGGAAGGAGGTGCTGTTACCTGGAGCGAGGTGAGGAGGTGCTGTGTGTCTCTTCGTGTCACTAACCTCAACGAACAACTTCCTTAAACTTGGTTTTCTCTTGACAGTGTCCCTTTAAACCCCTTAAAGTGAGCCCTGTCTCCCTGCCCAGCAGGAAGCCTAGAAGGGAAACCGTAAGTGACTTGGTCATGTTTGGCTCCTGGGGCAGTTCTTTGCCCACAGTGTCACCAGCACGTGGAAGTGTTACACATATGAGGGCTCGCTGACACGCTGGGCTGACTCCTGCCCCTGCACAGGCTGCAGCACTCCCAGTACTGCCTCCACATGAGCAGTCAGGTTCTCACACCCTGCACACTATCACTAACTCCCTGGGTTGCGTGTGGAGAAATAAGAAGGTGGAAGCAGCTTGCCACAGGGGTCTGGCACTAGCTCGCAGGGACTGTCTCCAGTGCTGAGCCTGGCTGCTTTGTAGTTCCTGGCCAAGATGTTTTCCAGGCTTTGTTGAACTGTGGGCAAGCTGCTGACCCCTTGGCTCACCCATTGCACTTGTCCCATCCCCTTGACAGTTTGGCATGGACACATCTTGTGGTTTCCACCCTGATGCTAGATGTAGAGGTAGACAAGCAGGCACCATTGGACCAGGACTTGCATTCAGTAACACTGGCTGCAGTGGGCTGTTCTGCTTTTACAGAAACAGAAGGGATGGAGTTTGTGTTGTTGGGTATTCTCCAAGCTGATGTAAGAGCATGTGACTGGAACACCATGCTGGGGACAGCATGAATGGTAACTGGGGGGGACCAGGAGCCGGGAAGGAGAAAGGGGAAGGTGAGGGAGGCCCTCAGGTCAGGAAGGGTCTGTTTGTGCTCTTTGTGTACTCCCATCAAATGCAGCTACAGTTTTCACTGGTATCAAGGAGTCTGTAGTTTCCTTTTCCTCAAGCCAGCCTGGATGAGGAATGTGGCTGGTTGTGCCTGTTAGGTCTAGAGAAAACAGGGAGCTGGGCGCAGGGAGTGAGGCTATTGCAAGTCTGGTGTGACCCTGTCCCTTTGCAAGCTTCCTACAGTGACCAGCAGTGCTGCTGGAGCAGTGGGCTCTGTGGGACCTAGTGGTAAGTGTCCCGGGGAGAGCAGTACTCTTAGGGTTGCTTGAAGGCTCAGTAACTTGCAGTGAGGGTGTTGTAGCCGCTGGCTGAGAAATCCACCTCCAGCCTCTGAGCTGTGCTGAGAACCTGAGCTTTAACCATATGAGCCCAAAGGAGCAGCCTGAACCCTCAGGCCTTGGTCTGCACAGCCAGGAGAAAATGTCCCAAACACGAGCCACGGGGGTTCGTCTCCCGGAGTTTTCTATCCACAGAGCAGCGCCTCTGAAATTAATTTCTTGGTGGAGATGGCTTCTGGCCGCACCGCCTGCAGATGGCAGCAGCTGTGAACCGATCCCTTGGTTAGCTTGGTTATCTTGCAGTCACCGGCTGTGGTCTTCCATGCAAGCTCATAAACATCACAAAGCCGGTACTTGGGGGTGTGGGTTGATGGTTGACCCCAAGTGCCACATCTGACTCCTTCTGTGAACACAAGTGAGTCAGTTCAGCAGTCAACTCGCACCAAATTGGTGGCTGTGTTGGAACAGGCTGGGCAAGCACAAGCACATCTGCAGCTCTGTGGTTGCGAGATCAGGCACAGAGAAGCCACAGGAGTTCATGGCCAGGCTTAGCAGCCACACACTATCCTTACAACATGGAGGCATGAGGATACAGAGCTGAAACAGCTCAGTTTAATGTAAGCCTGAACTGCTGAAGTCTTGCCTCTTTGTTTGCAGGAGGCTGGGCTGAGCTGCCTATGGCCTTCCAGGCTGCAGCATAAATCCTGGCTGTCACCGAGTGCTCAGGACCTTTGTATTCAGGAGGATTTTTGGAGCTAAGCCAGTGTTGGTCTTTGCAAGAGTCCCTTTGGAAGCTTTAGTGAGTTAAGGAGGGATTGGGAATTGGTGCAGTTTTGCCCTCCTCCCTTATGGAGTGGTGCAGGGGTTCTGTGATCCCTCTCCTGCCTTTTAGCAGAGGTGGCTGTGCAGAGCCAGTGTTGGCAGCTGAGAGGATGGTGGCCATGGGAGAAGCAGAAGAGGTGTAGGCTCCAAGGACCATCTCTCAGCTGGCTGGTGCATGGGGCATGCTGTGAAAGAGCTGCGTGCACCAGGGCTGGAAGCACAAGTGGGCTGCTTGCTGAGCTGGAAGGGTCTCTGATCCATCTGTTAGGAGAAACAATCCAAGCACATCTTACAGTAGCTTTGTTAGGAACCTGCTTTCTCACCCTCCCTGCCCAGCTCTTGAAAGCATGGTGAGGGGATGTCAAGCCCCGTTCCAGCTTGCTGAGATGCCCAGTTTCGTAAGCATTGCTCTGGAAACGTGCCTGGATCATTACCAGCATTACAGGCCAAAGGGGAATGTGTGGCTGGTGCAGGGAAGGAGGCTGAGGCTCTGTGAGGCTGGGCTGCCTTGGGGTGCAGTGTGGAGGTGCAGGGCTGCAGCCAGGGCTCCCCTTTCTAGGGGGCTTCCAGCCTGACGGGGGGGTTTCTTAACACTGCTCTCTTTCACCCACAGAGCTCTGACAACATCCCTCCAGGCTATGAGCCTATTTCCCTGCTGGAAGCGCTGAACGGCCTTCGCTCTGTTTCCCCCACCATCCCGTCAGCCCCTCTGTATGAAGAAATCAACTACTCTGGCGTGGTGGATGGGATGCCCCCTGTGAGCCGGCCGCTTGTGGGCATGGACAGAGCTGTGGAGAGCGGCCACCAAAAGGGCAAGAGGAGCAAGTCTCCAGATAGGTCAGCACTGGGATGGAGGGGTCTGTTCCCCTTCTAAGCCCTGGGGGCTTGTGGCCTCACGTACTGGGAGCCAGGAGAGGACTCTGGCTGGTCCCACGACTGGTATCTTTTAGTAGGCCAGCAGGTACTCGTGCTGGTGAGAGAACTGGGGCATCACCCATGTGTTCAGCATGAGGTTACAGCTTATGTCTCCTAAGGCCTGGCTTACTCACCAAAAGAAAGAGGATTTTTAACAAGGAGAATTCTGGATGGGAGTGTCTCCTTTCCAGGGCAGTTAGTCCCTCAATTTGCATTTGACATCCAAATCTTGCTAGATTTCAGCTTTCCATAAGTTCCCCAGGAACAAAAGAATGGAGAGAGAAGTGACCTGAATTTTGGAGCACAAAATTCTGAGACCCTTTAGTTGTTGTCTGAAGCCTCCTCTATTGGCCTTGTGACGGAGAATGTAGGTGTGGATGCCATGGAATGGGCAGCCCACTGCATGTGCCCTTTACGTGACCCTTGTGGGGCTGTACAGGTGGGGTCAGACTGGGTTTGTTCCTGGCACTCCACTTGCTCCATTCCAGATATCCCCCTTGGAATGGAGCCCCCAGAGGTGTGAGGAGCAGTGTGGGCCCAGTGGCTCTTGCTTTCCCTGCCAAGGCAGTTTTGTCCAAGCTGTGTTACTGTGCTGAAACTCTGCCCCAGAAACTGTTGCTCTTCTCCATGCAGCTGATACCAGAGGCCCTGGTGAATTTATCTCAGTAGCTGAGCTTCTGCTTGTGCAGGTTGGCTGATGCTGCTGGTGGAGACACAGGCAGGGATGGTGACAACTTGAGCTTCTGCCACCAAATCCACCAGGGCCGTGGTGCGGGCAGCACTGCGGCTCCTTGTGAGTGGAGTTTCTCTTGCCGCAGCACACTACGGTCTCCCTCATCCCCCATCCACGAGGAGGATGAAGAGAAGCTCTCAGAGGACTCTGACTCACCGCCAGCACTGAGCGGGGCTGAGCTGGCCCTGAGGGAGAGCAGCTCTCCAGAAGTAAGTGTGTGCTCTGCTGGGGAGCTGCTCTGAGCCAGAGCTCCTCTGGGGGGGCTGCTTCTGGGACATGAGGTGCCTCGTGAAGGGCCATCCCTTCCTCAGTGACGAGGTAAAGATGAGTGTGTTGGCATGTAACCCAGAGCCAAGAGTCTTGGCTGCCTTCATTTACACATAAGCTCCATGGGGAAAGGACGTGGTCGCTCCCTGTGTCCCTAACACCTCTTTGGGAGCTGGGGCATTGGAAAGCTATGTCAGAGCTGCCCTCCCCTCAGCTGGCTGGGCTTTACCCGCACCATTGCATGTTAACCCCTCCATCCCAGCCCATGGTGCCATAGCACTGGTGGGTGGCCATTGGTCCTTCCCTGAAGCAAGTCCTGGCCCCAGGCACAGCTCTGGAGGAGGCCATGGCAGGACACAAGTGCAGCAAAGCCTTCAGCCTGCAGAAGTAACCTATGCTGTTCCTCCTTACAGAGCGTGGCAGGGGAAGAGATCGAGGAGGCCTTGTCCCTGCAGCAGGGTAGGTGTCCACTCGGCCTGGGGGTGGCCAGACCTCATCTTAGTGTCCACCCCTGGTGTGGTGGGATGGGGACAGCTGGGGAGTGAACATAGGAGCTGAGGAATACACAGCCCCCGAAGTCCATCCCTGAGCTGCTGTGCTTCACCCAGGAAAGGTGCCAAGGTCTTTTCTGGGAACCAGGGGAGCAAAATCAACAAATCTGGTTTATTTGCCAAGCACCAAACTTTGCTGTGAGCTCCGCACATGGGCTACCTGCTCATACAGCCGAGGGAGAGATGCCTGCATGCACTACTGTGGTCCTGGTGAGAGCATGGCCACCGTACTGGGCATGCAGGATGCACCCCAGTGTCTCTGGTGCTCAGTCAGCATCCTGAGGGCATGAAGAGAGACGGGATGGGTGCATTGTGGCATATGAGCTTGCGTACGAAAAGGTGGCCTTTGGGCACCATGGCCTGGGCCAGTCTGACCGGTTCCCCCGAGCCCTCCGTGGGGCTGGGGAGCTTCCTTGGGTCTGGGATCTCACCCGTCTTCCTGGCCGTGTGCACTGAGGGGCTCCCTGGTGCTCTCTGCTTGCAGGCAGCCGCCCACCCTCGCTGGAGGACGTGCTGCAGGACGGGAGCTGCGGCGAGCACAGGAGCCTGACGCAGTCGGAGAACGACCCTCCTGTTGACGTTTACCTGCCAGGTAACGGCCGCGCTGTTGGGGTCGGCGGCACCCCCTGCGCTCGCGGTGCCGGTTTACGGCACGGAGGGGTTGTGCGGAGGGTGGTGCCCGGGCGGTGCTGGGACGGGAGCTGCCCGGAGCACGGGGAGAGCGAGCTGTGGGTAACTCGCCTCCCTTTTCTCCTCCTCCCTCGCCCTTTTGTCTCTGTCCTTCCCCTCCTTTCTCCTCTCTGGGCTGCAGCCGCTCGGTGCCACAGTTTACGTGGCAGTGGCTTCCCCTACGTGCCCCAGCCGCACTCCTCGCCGAGAGACGGGAACCGTCTGGGCCGGCTCCTGGGGACTAAGCCAGCGGGGGGCAGCAGGGAGGGCCGTGGTGTGCCCCGCTCTGCTGGCAAGCGGGGCTGCGGGGCGCTGCCCTCGCTCCGACAGCTGTCGTTGCAGCCTGTTTTCTTCCATAGAGTCGCAGTCTGCTCTGAGTACCTCTCTAATGTCTCCTTCCCTCTCTGTCTGCCTTCCTCCCTCCTGTCTTGGGCAGCACTGGGTCCTGATTCCTGCTCTATTGGTATAGAGGAGTAAGCTGGTATGTCTTCTCGTTCTTACGCATCACTGTTGTGTGGGGCAGGAGGACCTTTGGGGGAGAGTGGGTATGGTGCTGATCCTGGCCATCAGAACAGGGAGGAGGAGCAGCAAACCAGCCGGGCTGCAATACTGGCTCTGTCCTGCCTCTGTTCCCATCCCTGTACCCTACAGGGGTCCCCACTGTTCCTGATGGCCCGGGCCCTGGGCAGGGCAGCAGAAACCTCTGCCGTCCCCCACTTCTGGGTGAGGGCTCTGCTGCGTCTTGGGCTCCATCAACATTCAGGCCCCTGATGGCTGCTGCCAAGGCTGATGGCAGATAGTGTGTCCCCTTAGTGGCCCCTGTCCCACCCCCGGCTTTATCTGCATCTTAGCAGGGGCAGAGGTCATTGAGCTCATGTAGTTGCTCTAGGGCAAGAGGGGTCGCAGGGGTACCTTCTCCCTAGGGCCTGGGCTCTCAGTCTGATCCCAGGGCTGGCATTATTTGATCTGAACCCCATTCTCCTCCCTCAGGCTCATCCGACTTCACCAAGGCGCTCCCCGGCCGCAGCACCGGCAGCCCCACACAGCCCCTTCTCTTCGAGCAGACGTGTCTTCACATGGAGGACGAGCAGAACCTCTCGTGAGCGGGGCCCGACCTCCCTGCCCCGGCCGATGGACACACACGCACCCCCCCCCCCCCCCCCCCGGACCCCATGCACGGCCTCTCCCCCCTCTCCAGTGGGGCTGGCCTGCCCTCACCGCCCCAGGGACCCACCGTTTCGGTTGTTCTTTAACAGACATGCATGTATCCCACTGGCAGCGGCGACGGACGGGGCGGTGGGTAGGGCTGGCGGTGTGGTTTTACATGGGAATCGGGGGGGAGGGGAAGGTTTGGGGTTAAAAGCAGCAGGCGGAGGACACAACCGTTGTATATTTTGTACACACCGAGCACAGCCCTTTGCTGTCACTGCCCCTGTACATAGCTGTGGCCCTCCCTCCCGTCCCATTGGCCCCGTTGGGCTCTGCGCCTTCCTCCTCCCAGCTCTGAGTGCTGGGGGACCCTTGCCGGGGTACAGGGCTCCGCTGAGGGGTAGCGAGAGGACGGGGGGTCAGCTGAAGGCGGGGTGAGCCGAACCACGTGGGACGGGGCTGACCCCCACATCCCTCCACTACCTCCACGGAGCCCGGCGCTGCCCACGCCGTGTGCCTTGTTCTGCTTCTGCGGCGAGTCCCGGGGCGAGCCCCCTCTGTCCCCCTCTCTGTGTTTGTAGTAATAAACCCGTGGAGCAGCCACGAGAGTCCGTGCTTTGGGAGAGGGGGAACCGCTCCGGGGCGGGGCCAGTGAGCGGGGGGCGTGGTGTTTGGGCTGGTGGGCGGAGCCACATGGGATGAGGGGCGTGGCCACGGAGCTGAGCCATTATGCTATTGGGGAAGTGGTCACGAGGCCGCGGCGCGGTTGGGGGCGGGGAGAAGCTCTACTGCCCTCGCCCGCCTCCTTCCCGGCGTGCCCTTCGGCGCGCCCACGACCCCAAGCTTCGCTCTCATTGGCTCAAGCGCCGCCGTTCCCCCGCGCTCCTTTTCTCTAATATGGCGGGCGAGGCGGCGGCAGCGCCCCACCCCATTGGTCAGCAGTCGCCATTGCCCGCCCAGCCGATGAGCCACTGAGCCCAGCCAATTGGCTCAGCGGCGCACGGCGAGCTCCTACTGGTTGTTGCGGCTGCGGGTCCCGCCCTCCTTCGGCGCAGTCGCGCGTGCGCGGAGCAGGGTCTCGGTGCAGGGCGGCGAGGCGATGGCGGCCATGGGGGCCATGGGGGCGATGGCGGCCATGGGCGCGCTGCCGGCGGGTGCGGCGGTGCTGCCGCCGCTGCCCACGCTGGGGGTGCCGGGCGTGCCCGAGCTGAAGCCGCTGACGCGGTACGATGCGATGCGGCTGGGCCCGGGCTGGAGCCACTCGTGCCACGCCATGCTGTACGCGCCCAACCCGGGCATGCTCTTCGGCCGCATCCCGCTGCGCTACGCCGTGCTGGTGAGGGGCCCGGCTGGGGGCCCGGGCTGGGAGCGGGCATAGGGCCGGGGCGGGGCCATGGGGATGGGCCGGGCCGGGCTGGGCTGGGTCGGGTCGAGCCGGGTCGGGCCGCGGGCGCAGGGGGAGGCGGGCTGCGGGAGTCGCGGGTGAGGGCAGCGGGCGGGGGAAGGTGGGGCCGTTCCGTAGTTCCTGTGCAGGGCGGTAGCATCAGGCTTGGCAGAAGCGGCGGCGGGCCCGAGCCCGGGGGGGAGCCCCCGGGACTCCCGGCTGTGCTGCCGGGCAGCGGAACCCGCCTCGGCTCCCCGGCCCAGGGCCGCGGCGAGCTGTCGGAGGCGGTATCGGTGAACTCGGTGTCCTGGACGCGCTGGAGCTGGTAGGGCCTTGCCGGAGCGGCCCGGGGGCCTCCGTGGTGCCGGGCTGAGACGCCCGCGCCTCCTCCCGCCTTCCCCCGTGGCTCCGCTGTGCCCCATTAACACCGTGCGCCTCTATTGCAGATGCAGATGCGATTTGACGGACTGCTGGGCTTTCCCGGGGGGTTCGTGGATCGCCGTTACTGGTCCCTGGAGGACGGTCTGAATCGGGTGCTGGGCTTGGGTTTGGGCTGTGTGCGCCTGACGGAAGCTGACTATCTGTGCTCGCACCTGACAGAGGGGCCACATCGCGTGGTGGCACACTTCTACGCCAGGCAGCTGACCCTGGAGGAGCTGCATACCATCGAGATCAGCGCGGTGCATTCCCGAGACCACGGGCTGGAGGTGGGACATCCAGGGAGGGATGTGTAGAGCTCTGAGCGTTCGCTACAGGGAAGACCAGGCTTCCCTCCTAGGTCTGCAGGGCTGCCAGCTCCCGCAGCCCCGCGGGGAATGCACCGCACGTAGAGCCGCTGGCGGAGGGTGCCATGCACCGCCGCACAGCACCAGCGATAGGAGGCCTGGCTGTTGGCTGGGGTCGTGCCTCAGGCTATGGAGCGTAGCAGGCTCCAGCTCCAGCCTCTCCCGGTGACTGCCCGCATAGGGAAGAGCCCCATGTACCTGCTGGATGCAGGGGGGGTCCGTCTCGTGTCTGGTGGGCGCCTGCCCCTGCCTTGTGCTGAGTAACGTGGACCGGAATCGTGACCTGCGCTGTGGCAACGTGCTGCTCTGACCCGAGCTCTCCCCGGCTTGCACGGAGGCAGTGTGGGATGCAGCTTTCCCTTACTCCCGGGTAGTGGGGTCCGGCTGACGCCCCGGGGTAGGGTGCAAGAGGCAGGGTGTCCCCGCGCGCCCGTGAGGCGCTCAGTGGGTTTTGGCAGGTGCACACATGGAGGCAGTTGGTTGTGGGTTGTGGTGTGGTTGAGGTGAGGGGATGTGTGGGTAAGCCAGGGTGTCCCTGGGCTAGCCAGGTAGGGTGTGCAGGGGAAGTGGGGCTCCCCATAGCGGCCTGGGGCAGCGGGATTCCCCCCAAAGGGGCAGGAGGGGGAACGGAGCCAGGGCTGGGTGCAGGGCCTGGGCAGGGAGTGCTGGGGTCTAGCAGGGTTCAAGGAGGGCAGAGCAGGGGCTTCAGCCGGGCTGGGGGCAGGCAGGCGAGGGCAGGGCCGGTGCAGGAGCATGGGCAGCACCTGGCAGCAGGGGCTGGGCTGGGTGGGCCTGGGCCTGGGCTGGCGGGTGCTGGGTGAGGGGCTGGGGGCTGGGGGGGGGTTGGTGTTGCTATGGGCTCTGCTGAGCTGTGCTCTGTGCTGTTGCAGGTGATGGGCATGGTCCGTGTCCCCCTCTACACCCAGAAAGACCGCATGGGCGGACTGCCCAACTTCCTGGCCAACTCTTTTGTTGGAACCGCCAAATTCCAGCTGCTCTTTGCCCTGAAGATCTTGAACATGGTGCCTGAGGAAAAGCTGGCCGAGGCGGTAGCTGCCACGCAGAAGGTGAAGAAGCCACCCATTGACCATGCAGCGGGGACAATGGGCAACCTGGGCACCAAGTCAGCAAATGAGCTGATGGCACAAGCTAAAACAGGCAGTGAATTAGGAGATCAGGCAGAGAACCAGGCGGTGGTGCAGGCAATGGCCGAGTCGGCAGAGCAGGTGCTGGTGGGGCTGGAGAGCCAGGCCGTGGCAGAGCAGTTGGTGGCTGTGCCTGTGGCTGAGGCGCTGGAGCAGGCAGCGGCACTGGGGGCAGACGCTGTGATGCAGCAGCCAGTGGCTGAGGCCATGGAGTGATGCTGCTGTGTTTGAGCTTGATTAAACGTGGGTGAGACCATAGAGACTTTTAACTTCCCAGCGCTGGCTGCACTTGCTGCCCACATGATTCCGCTGCCCAGCTGGGAGGGATTGGGTCTGTCTGAAGCAGGGGAAAGCGATGTATTTTTATGGCCATTAAACTCTAGTGAGCTTCCCAGATCAACCTGCACAGCCCCCTGCAGAGTTCATGTGCTTATGTGAGGGCGCTGAAGCCTTAGAATTATGCTTTGATTTCAGGGACGTGCAGTGCTGCAGCCAGGTCCCACCTTTGTTTTTAAGGAACAAAATGTCTTCTTTTTTAAATGCCCCATGTAGCCGTGCCTGCGAGCACAGCTGAGTGAGGGGGCTGCTACCCCAGCACCTCCACCACTGGTGGGCCGCAGAGTGACCAGTCATGAATTCCTTTTGGGGCACAGGGGCACGTGTGTGGGTTTCAATCTGGAGATCTGTGGGAGCAGGAAAGTGGAATAAATGGCTTTGCTGGATGCGCTGCAGTTGGATCCTTCTTGAGCACTGGGGCAGAGCTTTAGGGGTGCAGGGGCTCCCTCAGGGCTCTGTGCTCTGCTGGCTGTGCCAGGGTGAGAAGCTGGAGGGAAAGGGAAAGGCAGCCCCTGTGAGCCAGGGCCACGGGGCTGGCTGCAGACCCGTGTTCAGGTTGTGCTGCTGTTACTCCAGCATGGCTGAGGCCCCACAGGGGCTGGTGAGAAGCTTCTGTGCTGCTGCGGGTGCCAGAGCACCTCAGAGCACGGGCTTTAGATGTGGGGCTGTCCTGTCTAACGCAGGTACTGCTGCAGCAGCCAGCGGAGCCTGGCTGTAGTGCACAGAGCGCTGCTCTCTGTGCAGGGACACAGTAGTAGAATCCACCCCCATCGAGCAGCTCGGCTGCACTGGGCAGGCTCTGTGCTGGCTGCCCTGCTCCCAGCTGATCCCAGCAGGAGCTACACCCCATCTCAGCCAAGAGGGAGGTCACCCTCCGTCATGGCAGAGCAGATGGTCAGGTGAAGGTGCTCGAGCAGCCCCTCAGAGGCCAGCTCTAGCACAGAGTGAGAAACAACTCAGGAAAGAGGTTTCGTTTAATTGAAGACGTTTAGAGAGGCCAATGGTGACAGCAGTGGCGCTCCTCAGGGCAGGGTGGCAGAGGACACAGCAGTCACAGCTCCCCTCAGGGCGCGCCCAAGAACTGCAGCAGTGGAGCTGGGCTGTGTAACGGGCAGCAGGGAGAGTGGGGAACAGTGCCAGGGAATCGGGAGAGAAAGAGGCCTTCTGGTCCAGAGAAAGCAAATGCTGAGGAAAACCAGGGGCTTAAGCTCCTGAAGAAACTCACAAATCAACAAACAGACATGTTTAAGTAAAAAGTGGATGAGCAAAAAAACCCTAAAACACGGCAAGATAAAGGCTGGAAGGGTGCCTTGGGTCTCCCCCTGGAAAGCACTGTGGAATGGAGAGGGTCACAGTGGTGCCTGCCCTGGCATCAGGGCCCAGCCAGGCTGCAAGAGGAACACTGGAGACAGCCAAAGCCCCCCAGCCTATTCCAGCCATGGCAGCAGAGCTCCTCTCCCACCCTGTGACCCAGCTACAACCCCAAGAGAGGTACCTCAGCTGAAGCTTCCAGCTCAGGCTGCAGCTCCCTACCCCATTGTGGGTTCTCTGCTACAGAACTGCATCCCTTGAGCTACGCTCAGCCTGACTGCTGCTGCAACTGCAACCAGCTGCTTGCCCTGCTGAGCCAGAGGATGGGGTGGAAGGGACTTCTGTCCTCAGAGCAAGGCCCACACCAAGGTCAGCCCCAGCTTCCCAGGGCTTGAAGGTCTTCAAGTATGGATTCCAACAGCTTCAAGCTTGACCATCCTCATAGAAGCCTTT